TGTCATTTTAGTGGGTCATTCTATTTACACACCACCTTTTTTCTCAAGGCAAATCATTAATTAGTTTTTTTTTATTACAATTTTAACCTTAAGTGAAATGACTATAGAGGACAAGTTATGATACACACCATTTGTATATTTACCATAAAGGATAAGAATGAATATAATATAAATCATTAATTTCAAACTTGTTCCTTACGTATCTTCTTTGTCAAGAATACAAAAAACCTAAAACCAAAACCAAAAACTCTTCAACAAATAATCAAAAATATAGTATTATTGAAGATTTTGAATAGATTCAATGAAGGATGCATCTAGCAACTTTGATTCGCAACAATGGAGCAAGGAAGAGGTTATTTTTTTGTTGTTTTTGTTTTTGTTTTCGTTACTTGCTGAGTGGTAAATAGTTGGTACAATTCGGGTAACCAGAGGTGGATATTATATCATTGTTCAACATACTACGGTCGAACAACGTGTCTTTGTTCAACATATTACGGTCGAACAAAATGCCTTTGTTCAACATACTACGGTCGAACAAAATGCCTTTGTTCAACATACTACAGTCGAACTTTATTCGTATATTCGGTTAACAAAAATCGAGTAATTTCATTTAATTCGACCCTGTACTGCCGAACATTTACAATTATTTTTTTTTTTTTTCCCCAAAACGGAGCATCCGTGAAATGCAGTAATGTTGAATCTGGGGTCTTGTTGACTACACGAGTCAATTTATTACTAATGAGGTAGTCTCATGTCGAAAATTAGTATTTTTTTCTTTTTCTTTTCGGATGTTTAATGACTTTGTTGAATTTGACTTGTAGGTTTTTAAGAGCAAAGAAGAATTACTTGGTTTGGTTCTTCCTTCTAAGTCAAATTTGATTGCCTTTTTATGTGTGTTTGATTTTCTTGTGAGGTCAGTTCTGGTTTGACTTTCTGAAATGGTTTCCAAGCTGCTGTTGCAGCCAGTGGGGCACTTTGCTGGTGTCTAAGTAGCATAGACATGGACACGTGACACGACACTAACACACTTATTTACACGTCAATTTTCAAAAAAATGCAAGCCACGATACACTTAAGACACGTTAAAAAATTATATTTTTATAAATTTATTATATGTGGAAGATATGAATAGTTTATTCAAAGACAGTAAAACAACATAACACTAATTAAAATTAAAAAGCCATATATTCCATAACTTAAAATCAAATTATCATTCACGTAATAACTACAATGTAAAGAATACAAAAAAAAATGTTGAATATAGAAATACACACGATGTATCATGTTGTAAATGTTTCAAAACATATTTAGATTGAATAAGTTGAATTCCAAAGAATACAAAATATTGTTATTATGAAGAGATTCATCGCATAAGTCGTGTTCGGAGGGTTCAAAAAGTATCGCCGAAGTGTCCAATATTATGAATTTACATCTTTAATTAAGACACATTGAAAAACATCCTCATCTAGTCCGATCTTTTTTCAAGTTTTCTTTCCCCCTCCATTTTTACCCTTCCAGGCAGACTCAATGCATGAGCTTCCTGCTAAAGCAGGCTCTGGGTAAGGTAAGATGTACACAACCTCCTTCCCATTTCTAGTGAAGTTGTTTCTGTGACTCAAACTAGTTATGAACGTTGTGATTTACTTGATACTTCTATTTGTGGGTATTGGATTTTTGGTCATAATCCATGTCTGTATAGTTGGGAGAGCCTTCAGAAGAGGGTTTATGAATGCAAGCACAACAATTGAGAGTAGTGGCAGATTTGGAAGCATAAGCATGTCTCAAGACGACCTCAAAGGCTTCCGAGCTTCGATTTCAAAGCAAGAGAGAAAGGAAGTAGTCCAGTGGACTGTGCTGTTTGTTTGGACAATTTCAAGGTGGGTGAGAAGTGTAGATTGTTGCCTCTGTGCAAGCACAGTTTTCATGCCCGGTGTGTGGATTTGTGGCTTGTGAAAACACCCATTTGTCCACTCCTGTAGGACCAGTACTGATTCATGGAAAGGTGGCTCAATTTCTGGAGATGAAAGTAGGCATTTCAGTGGGATTGAATTAAGGGAGAGCCAAACTACGGAGTGGGAGTTGAGGGAGAGCCAAATAGCAGAAATTGACAATTTTTTGGCTTTAGAAATTGACCATTTGAGTGAGTCTGGAATTGAGGCAACAGAGAGCCAAGCTGTGAGTCAAGTTGGATTTATAACACTCCTTCACTACTTGCAAAATTGGTGTGAGGGATTCTTGGACCAGTAGGGAAAAAATTAGTCTCAAATAATAAAAAATAAATAAATAAAAGTTTATTCTTCAACAGTGTACAAGAAAATGGCTACGAACACTAGCCAGTCACTCACACCCAAATACAAAAAGACAATCATCGAAACAGTCATACTCGTACACATTGAGTTATTCAAGCAGAATTTGACGTGATTCACATGATATTTGTACCACAAAAGGATAAAAATAAAAATCTTTTGAGTTCTTCAATTCACTCGTTGTTGACATAAACTAAAAGCATTCCTCTGCTACTCAATCAACACATCACACCAAGCTTCACTAACTGATTCAAAAGGCACTAAATATCAGATCCTGTAAGTACCACTCCACATCAAAGAAAAAAATGTATACTTGGAGACAAAAACTACACAAAGACGCTAATTAAGCAAAAGTTTCCTTGACCATAACACTTAAGTTCACACTAAAAACTAAGACCCAAAACAATCTCATATCAAACTCATAAACTTGACACCCAGATCTTAAAATCCCCAATCTAACATAAATTGAAAAAACATAACACGAATTAAGCAACTGATACAACAGACACTTGTACGCAATTATGTCAAAACTGATGCAGCAAAGCCAACTTGTATATGATGTTTTTATCAGTGCCTGTTAGGGGCCACGCATCTTCACCTAACTTCTAACCAACACTTATACACAATGTTTATAGACATGACAAATCAAGCAGAAAAAAAAAAAATTGAAAAAACACCAAACCAATGAAAGACCACATTTTCTACTCGAGTAATGCTACAATGATCATGTTTATATACCATATTTAGTACAAAATTGTGTTGTCCGAATATCAACTGCCGAACGAATTTAGGCTCCGAACAACCAGTGTCGAACGATTCACTCAAATACGATTCACTCAAATACAAACTTCATGCCAATGGAGATAAGTGCATAAAACCCTAAAATAAATAATAACTCACCTAATAAATCTCCAATGTGAAGTTCTAACTGTGTTAAACAACACCACCGACTACGTCTTGATGAGTGTTTTCAGCAATGGTGTTTACCGGTGTGAATAGAGAATAGAGGGGGAGATGAATATCGTGGGTGTGGGGTGTGTGGCTGTATGAGGGCAAAGATGGATCTTTGTGGGTATATTGTTGTTGGTTGGTGTGTGAGTAGGGGTAAATATATAAATTTGTGGTGTGTGTTGAGAAAAATATTTATTTTTGTAAATTATTTTTAGTGTGTCTTTAGAAGTGGTTTGCCTTGAGAGAGAAAGTGGTGTGTAAATAGAGCCTCCCCATTTTAGTCCATGACTTTTTAATTGTGACATATTTGATCCCGAGTTTTGAATTTTATTTCAAATAAGAACAATTGAAGATACCATTGCTCAATTTTAAAGGCAAAGTCGTCAATTTCATAAAATATAAACTAATTTGACAAAATTAAATGTTAAAAATATTTTTGAATTTTTAAAAATTATTTCTACCCACCAAAGATAATTATGTAAAATTGATAAATCTTTTATATATTTATTTATTTATTTTTATCAAATTAACTTTTATTATGTATGTGGATGATAATCATGTAATGGTTGTTTTTTTTTTGTGTGTGTGATGATTATCATGTAATATATGATTGTATTTGTTATTAACAGATATTTTTGGATGATTATCATGTAACGAATAGTTATTAGGCTTTTAATATGTAATCGATATGTTGAACATATGAAATGCATTTAGTTTTTGATTTTTTGATTTAATGAATAGATTTAGGGGTTGTTTGGGATGACCTAAATAAGTGCACTTTTTGTCTTTTTACGAAAAGATGTGCAGAAAAGTAGAGAGGTGATGCAATGGAAAAAAGATAAAAAGATGGATTATTTTTGGGTTGCCAAACTTGGCATTAATAATGATAAAGTTGTCGGCATATTTGACTTTTAAAAAAATAGAAACTAATTTAATGAAAATAAAAATAACCATCAATTACATGATCATCATCCAATCATATATTAAAAATTAGTTTGTTAAAAATAAATAAATAAATATGTAAAAGATTTATCAATATAATATAATTTTATTTTTTGTGGGTATAAGTAATTTTTAAAAATTAAAAAATAATTTTTTGATATGTATTTTTGTCAAACTAGTTTATATTTTATCAAATTGATCACTTTGCTTTTGAAATTGAATAATGGATTTTTAATTGTCCTTATTTAAAACAAGATTCAAAATTAAGAATAAAATATGTTACACTTGAAAAATCATGGATTAAAGTGATACAAACTCCAAACTATAGGGACTGTTAGTGTAATTCGTCCGTGAGAAAAAAATAAAATAATTATGATTTGAATGTAACATTTTAATTTATTAATTTTTTAACCTATTTTGTTATTTTGTAACTATTTTAACCCAAGATTGAGATGCATTTCAGTAATCTATGAAGGCTCAATCAATCAAACACCAAGGGGCATTTTAGTAATCTCACAATTTCCCAACAAAGGACAGCGCTTTAAATAATGGAGTAATCACATGATTTGGCGGGATGTCTCTTTTAGTTTAATGTCTTAATCTAATCTCTACCAGCAATACTCCTATCTCTCTCTCTCCCCATTTTTTTGTCACTCCAAAATTGATATTTCAACTGTGATCTCAACCATTTTAATGCCCCAAAACAAAACCCTAATTTCACTGCATTCTTACGCTTCCCCCACATATACCCCCCATTTTCCCTTCAACTTTAAGCTCACTCAGATCCAAAATTAGGTACCAGACAACTCTGTACCTCCTTTTATACACACACACACGCACATATATGTATAATATAGGGTTTGAATGTGATGTTTGGAGTTTGGGAATGTGAAGGTTTTACTGATTTCTGTGATGGGTTTGTGACGTACAAGGGTTTTTCTGCAATGGAAGCTTTGTAATTGTTTGTTTGGGGGGGTGTTTTTGACGTTTTGTGGATACAGAAAAAGAAAAACAGTATCTTTTTGTTCTTGGGTTTTCAGTTTTATGCTTTTTGGGGGTACATTTTGTCTAAATTTGGTTAGACATTTTGGTTTCGGATTTATACTTTTTGGGTTTTTGAATCAGACTGTGAAGACTCTTTTGCTCATTTTGAAGTTCTCTGTTTTGGGTTTGGGTTGGAGAGATTTGGTGAAGACTTTTTGCCTGGTGCTTTGGTTTGGAATTGGCTTTGTTTGGTGGTGTTGTACGAGTGGGTTGTACGAGCCAGTTTTTGGGAAGTTGATTATAGGTATTTGATCGGTTTTAAGGCTTAATTTGTGTGTATAATTATGTTCAGCAAGGCGGGTCTTTGTAAAATGTTAGTTTAAGCCAGGTTTTAGCTGCTGTAATTCCAAAGATCTGAGTGCTATTCTGTCAGATGCTAGTTTTAGCATTTCTTTGTTGTGATTTTGATATTTTAATTTGAAAATGTGGCACTGTCTCTTACACCTGAACCAGTATGTTCCTCTGATTAGTTCTCATTGTTATTTTTCTAAATTTGGTTTCAAGGAAATTCTGTCTGCATAATGTGATTAAGTTGCCAACCCCTTTAAGAATGTTTAAATCCATTTTGAAGTTTACTTAGGTTTAGGGTTCCTTCAATACGGTGAGAACATTAAAGACTTGGTTCTGGTTATTTTACTGAGTTATTTCTTTTTTCCTTTTTTTCCCTTTCCTCTTGTGTCCATAATTGAATTTACTTCCTCAGTTCCTTGCTACTTAATTCTGAAAGTAAACAGGGTACTTGAGAACAAGTGTGTTCATTTGAAACACTCAATCCTAACATTAATGTGAATAAATGAGAAATCTATATGCCTCAAGTTTAGGGAAGTCAAAAAACACTTGACTTACTGCTTACTACTTGTGGGCAGAACTTATTTAATCATTTGGATAAATTTACAGTTTCCTCCTGCTCTTTCCACCCAAAAGTTGCTTTAGTATATTGTGCTTTGAATTTATTTGAGTTTGCCTGCAATATGCATCTAGGTGGATTTGTGGAATTTTGCCTGTGTTGATATGCCCTCTCTCCTAGGCCTTACCATTAACTTTTTACCTCAAAGTTCTTAAGGATTTATGATTTTGACATGATTCATATTGGTATGCTTGTTTTTCACTTGAATTTCTCAGCCAAAATATCAAGAATACTAACTCATATAAGATAATCATGAATTTTCCTGCTAAAGAAATACAAAATATTTGTGTATGCATTCTTGCTAATTTTCTATACGTATAAATTTGTGAAATTTCCTACTCATGAGTTGCTCTGAAAATCAATTGTTCTCTGCCCTCTTATCATGGTCAGTCATCACATACAGTTCTACAAATATAAGTTGTATTCTTTTCTGAAACATCTAGTATCTTACTTTTGACTTCACATTTTTTTTGGGGGGGTCTAAAGATGATGTTATGCTGTAATTGTTGCTGGTTTAGAAGTATCCTATTGTGGTCTAAAATGGTTTGTGGGACTATGGATCACTTATAACTTCTTATATAAGCTGTGGCCTGTAAATATCAGGGACCATTCATTATTTATGTTCATGAGAGAATTTTATGAGGTATTTCTGAGCAATGATGATCGTAGAACCAATGCTTTTGTTTCCCTAGCCTTTGCATTTCTTATGTGTGTTGTCAACTTATTAATATAATTATTTTTTTATTGTGGAAATGATACAGGGTTTTTGAATGGATTTTGAATGAGTTGGGGCAGAAACCTGAGGGTTTTGAAGCTGATGGTAGATTGAATGCCCAGCAATGTCGAGGATTGCAAAGTGGAAGATTGAGAAGACAAAAGTAAAAGTGGTCTTTCGGCTACAATTTCATGCTACACATGTATGTTTGCTCTTGATCATTTTAATTTTTTTTACTTCTGGTTTGTGCCATCCTGATGAGTATGCCTTCTTCCTTTGTTTGTGGGTTTCTTCTTGGCTCCTATTGATTTCCTTGTTGATTAAACCTACTGTGTTGGTAACTATAAAAGTCCACACTTAAAGTAGACACTCATATGTATGTTTCTTATCCAATTTGCAGATCTTCTACAGTCAGAAACCTCCTTTCCAGGTTTCATATTAGGGACCCTATGAGAATCTGCATGACTGTAGTAGAGTTCAATTGTATTATTTTATAACTTGAATTTTTTTTTTTAACAACTAAAATCCTACATATATAATGTAAATTAGCATCCTGTACCTCCAAAGGTGCCTAAATATGTAGCTTCTATTTGGAAATGGAAAATATGTAGTAGGAAAATTCATGAAAGTTTTGACGATAAGTAGAGCAGGAATTATCAGGATGGGTTTTGTTCATAATAACTCATATTAAGTATCTGAGCTCTGAACTTCGTTTTTCCTAGAGTGTATGTGTGAAGTGAAGGTATCAGACTAGGCACGATTTAGAGGGGATAATGATGCACATATGCACTGGACCTGTTACCTTAGTCCATGGTGCATAACTCAGTATTCAATGGCTGACTATGGTGGTCACCAGTAATTAACAACCAGGTGGCCAGGTAAATGGTACGGATGTCAGGTGTTCAGGTGGCAACAATTGGTGTGTTGGTCTTTGAATGGAGATAATGTCATGGTACAAGAAAATATATTAAAAGTTTTGGAAAATATTATAACAACTAATTATGGTAGAAATACATTACAAGTTCTGGAAAATATTATAAAAACCAAGGAATATAAGAAAAGTTAAATAAGTCGGCACGAAAAGGTCTTTCTGAATGCAAAATTAGTAGTTGTATTACCCAGCAGCGATTTCATGGCTGATATAAATAGCAAAATGTAAATAAGATTAGAGCTTTTGAGTGGCATACCTTTAATTTGCATCTTGTTATTTCGTGATTGTCATCGTCTCATAGGATATGAAACTCAAGGTATCTTTTTTAGCCATTATAGTCCATTGTTCACTCTAAGGTTAATTACATTTTACAGGTTGTTAAAATCGGGATCCTACGTTGGATCGTTGGAGGTGTCTATAGGATCGGATCGTAGAATCGGATTGAGGATCGTAAGATCCTACCGAAAAAGACAAATTACATAATAATTTAATTTAAATAAATATTTCTTATAAAGTACACACAAAATGAACCTATATTTTATTAAAAAGAAGTGAAGATATTGTGAAAAATATAATACTCCATGTAAAATGTACATATAATATTATGCAATAGAAAACTCGATGGTAAAAGTTCTGTATTTTATCAAAAAAGAAGGTGAAGAAGAAGAAGAATTCTATAACAAAATACTTTACAATGTACAATAATGCATAAAAAGTGAAGAAAAAATATTTAACAAAATTGGATATGAAAATAGATTAAGAACTCAAAAGAGTAGCTTAGTCGAATGATAAGGTTTGTCGTTAGCATCCCTGGTGGAGCGGATTCGAGTCACAAAAATAATTTCTCCAGAAATTGGGAAAAAGTTACAATCATCTTATCCTTCTTAGACTCCGCTAAAGCTAAGTTTGTCTTTCCGACTATTTAATTTTCTTAAATTACGGCAATATTTGAATGTTTGTTTCCTAATTTGTTTTTCTTAGTCTATTTGATTCAATACTACTTAATTTTTATTATTTATTTTGACAACATAAATTGATATTGAGACAACAAATATAAAATTTACAACAAAATATGTCATACAATACAAAAAAAGGCTTGTAAATTGGATCGGATAGGATCGGATTCGGATCGGGATTCCACGATCCTATAAGATCCCACTACCAGGATCGAAAGATCCTACCTATAAGGAGTTTTTTACACGATCCAGATGGATTGCCCTCAAATGGATCGTAAGATCGTAGGATCGTAAGATCCGGATCGGGATTCTGATAACCATACTCCATCTGGTCTGGTTTAGCTCGAAAGCACATTGGCCCCTTGTAGTCTTGAAATATGCATATAGCCTCATGTGGTATGGAGTGAAGTGCAAAGTAAAGAATTTTGTCAAAGTTAACAGTGTGCATGTAACACGCATTGAATTGAGCACATGTGTATCTACAGCTACACATTGACGCTTTTGTCCTCCTTTTTTTTTTTTTGTTCCTTCCTTCCTTATCCTTCTTCCTTCTGCCTTCTTCTTCCCTTCGCAGCCGATCCACTCTCCCTTCCCTTCCCTTATTCTTCTCGTTTCCTCCAACAACCCAAGGCCACCACCTCACACCGCAGAACACACACCTACTGTGACCAATACTGGCCACACAAGCCACCTCCAAAACAAAACCCAGCAACCACTCCCTGAACACTACAATTACTCACTAGCCACTGTGGGCACCACTATGCATGCAGCGGTGGCAGTGGCCACTATGAGTGAGGGAGAGAGAAGGAGAAACGAGAATGAGGAGAAGAAGAGAAGGAGAACAAGGAAGAAAGAGAGGGTTGTGGCTAGTGATGTGGGCATGGGCAGCGGTGGCGGCTATGCTGTTGGTGTAGCGTGGAGGAGAGAAGAAAATGAAAGAAGAAAAAGAAAGAAGAAGAAGACGAAAGAAGAAAATGGAGGAAGTGGGGAAGAGAGGAGGCTGTGGTGGTATAGTGTCATGAAGAAGAGAATTGAGTTTTCACAAAAAAGTTAAACAGAGTTGGACTTTACACTTTACCCAGATCATAAAGGGCTTATATGCAGATTCTTAAAACCTGAAGGGGGTATGTTTGCTTGTTAGTGAGGTAAAGTGTAATGAACCCTTCATTCTACTACAATATGGCTTTCTCACTTGTCTTTGAATTAAAACCAGTTCTCGAATATGAAGGAAATTTGAGCGAGGATCAAAAATGACACAATGCCAAACTTTTCAAGATGGCTTAAAGATAAATAGAGATTGGCCTTAAATTTAAAGTTTGTGCATCGGAAAGAAAACCTGCCAGCTGCATGTCTACAAACGAGGGAAAGGAAAATGTCGTACTGAAATATATTATACCTGCTTCTTTATATGGTTTCCTTTGTACATCCTACAATGAGAATACCCTTAAGTACCTTTCTCAGCCGGTTGACTTAATTTTCCATCAAAGCTATTGATGAGTACTCAGAAGGCATGTGAACTTGTGTTGAATATTATGAATTGTGCTCATGAGGATTTTAGTAGTTAATAATAGAACTACTTGTACCATACTGCCATGATGGAGCCACCAGTTGGCCAGGGCACCTGCCAGCTGGCTCTTGCTTTTTGAGGATCTTGGAAGTGCTTGATCTACCTCTTCAATCCTTGTTTGAAATTGACATTCAAATGCTTCCTGTATGCTCCTTGTTTTTTTAAAGCTTATTTCTGATCTGAGAAACAAATTCAAGAGATAGATTTGTTGAAACAAAAAGCAAAATCTAATTCAAATCAAGGTAGTAATATGATAATTAGCATATGACCCAACCATACAAAATGTTCCATTGACTATAATGTTAAATCTGCTTACTTTCTTTAGTTATCTGGATTGGTTGTCGTCCTTAGCTTGTTGCAGCAGTTTGAAAACTGCATATGTTCTGTGAAATTGGGATAGAAAGTTTGTTTTCATTTTGATTAGAAAAATCATATTGTGATGTTCAACAAATGCATATTGTTATGTTCAACAAATGCATATTGTTGTTGGAACTGTGCAATGACTAAATATGTCCTTTTCCCCCCTTCAATATTTTCAGGTTCCACAAGCTGGATGGGATAAGTTATTCATATGACTAAATATGTCCTTTTCCCCCCTTCAATATTTTCAGGTTCCACAAGCTGGGTGGGATAAGCTATTTATATCTTTCGTTCCTGCTGATTCTGGAAAGGCAACAGCAAAGACGACCAAAACAAATGTGAGAAACGGGACATGCAAATGGGGAGATCCTATCTATGAAACGACAAGACTTCTCCAAGACTCCAAAAGCAAACAATATGATGAAAAGCTATACAAATTTGTTGTGGCCATGGTAGTTTTCTTCACTAATTCTTCATTTTGATTCTTATGTTTATAAACATATTTTTCTATACTGCTAGTTATCTGTACTTGATACACTGATGCCTCTTGTTTCTGCACTTATTACACACATTATCCAATAGTAATTAACTTTATGATATCTTGAATTGAATTGGCATCAGGGTTCTTCACGGTCTAGCATCCTTGGTGAAGCTAGCATCAACCTTGCTGATTATGCTGATGCACTGAAGCCTTCTGTCATTTCACTGTCTCTACATGGATGTAACTCTGGAACTATATTACATGTGAGACACTTCTATCTGTCCTTTAAGCTTTTAAACAGCTACCTTTTTCAATTGTAACCAGTGGCCAAGTTGAATGTATTAGTTCATGCATGATTAGTCATACCATATGTTTTACATGGATATTTTGAAATGTATGATACTTGTCCACATGGGCATATACCCAATGGCCATGTTTTACAAAGAAATAAACCCATTCGGAGATCACTAGAACCTTTTTTTGTGTATCTTATTTAGTTCTATGACATGAATATTTTGAAATGATTAAGTATTCATGTTGCTCTCTAGGCAGTTTTATGGATCTCTGTATCCTGAGATCTGGGGGTGATTCCAAGGCTCACCCACAACATATTTGTCTTATCAAAAAAACTTATATGCTTATTTGACTTTGCCTTTTGCCGCCATTTCATAATTTTGTGCTAGGTGCAAGCATTTTGGTTCTTACTTAAGAATTCGTTAGCACTATTCCATAGATTGTTGTAGTTGACTATGCTACTTGTTGCCAGGTCACAGTCCAGCTACTAACTTCTAAAACTGGATTCAGGTATTGCATCATTACTTATAACACTTAAAAGTACATACTTTTAGTATTGTAATCTATTGATCCTTAAGGTCTTATATGCGTCCAGAGAATTTGAGCAGCAAAGGGAACTCAGAGAGAGGGGTTTGCAGACAGGCACCGATCTGAAGAGGCATGATGACTTTGGTTCTGGGAAAGCATCATCTTCTGAAGAGATTGCCAATGATCAGATGGACAAGGTTGGATCATTTGTTTTTTCTGTATATGTAGAATGTTCCTTGTTATTACCATTCAGCATATTCTCGGGCTTTGCATTTGATATTGGTCTTTAATAAACTTGAAGTTCCAATTTTTTTGGATTATGAATCAATGTGAGCTTGTTTTGTTTGGTATGTTTCCCTTAACAAAACCTAATGAAGAAAAAGCAGGATTGGATAATGATGAGGAATTAATGTTGAGGATTTTACCATTTTGATTATTGAAAGCAAAAGTAGGACACATGAAGCAACGTGAAAAATTTACTTCAAAATCAAAATGAAATTCTATTCTTGATTTCTAATAAGCACAAACAGACTTGGACATGCAACACGACACAGATGTTGATTTGCAGTTTTTAAAAAATACAAAACACGATATGTAGGGGATGCACAAAAATATAGTTATATATATATATTACATCATATATATGAATACTTCATTCAAAGGTATTTAAAAAAAAAAAATTATTTAATTTCTAAAGTTTAAAGGAGGAGGGATTAATAGGTATAAAATATAAATCTACATTGCTTTTCTTTTGTCATTAGATTGTAAGTTATTTTGTTCAAAGTGAAAGTGTTTTTCATGTGTGTTTTAGTGATGGACTCTTGTGTCTCCTAAGTGTCTGAAACATGTTTTGATCTATAAGAATTGAAAAGAATAATAGGACACATTTGGACTTGTGTCCGACACATAATGCTGTATGGAGCCGTCCATTGAAAAGCGATACTTCAAAGTTGTGCAAGTTTGCAATTATCTGACTGTACATATGACAAAGATAAGGATTGCTGATTTGCTTTCCAGAATGCTGATCAACTTATATTGTCCTTGTTCTGAATGAGAGCTGTGATATTTTGGTGCAGTAGAAATATTTTTTCTTGACTTCTGAATGTCTAATGTTGAGCAATACTCTGTTAGGAATTGACACTCCTAACCAGGATCAGTGAGACATGAAACACATATACGAACAACACAAGAAAGCGATAAATCTCACACACACACAAAGAACAAGGATTTACGTGGTTCACCCTAAAACTAGGGCTACATTCACTCCTGTTGTGGTTTTCACTATGATAAGAGAATTACTAAATACAAGATAGCTGTCTCCCAATCAACTATAGATAATAGAAATTAGGGCAACAGGACATAAGTGTAGAAATACCAAAATGCCCTTACTCCAAAATTCATTAATCAGTACTTTGTTGGATCCACGGTTGAGTGGTCAGTGATCAGTATTTATCAGGCTCCACACTACCCCAACATACTCTTTCTGGTGCCCCCTCCCCCGCTGCATGTGTGGTTCTTTTATTGGTAGTGGCAGAGTGGTTCCTTCGTCGGGGCAATGAAACTCTTATCTTATAGAAGAAGGTGCATTAAGATTTTTAATAGCAGACTTGATGCATATGGGTTGTGTGCCCTTCCTAAACGTTTTGATACAGATCCTTCTATTTTGGGAGACAGATAATGTTCTTGAAGAAAGTTTGTCTCTGAATTCCTTTGAGAACCTAATATAGGGGGTGTTTGGGAAGAGTATTTTTTAGTTTTTTTGGCTAAAATAGCACTAAAAGATAAAATAGGCTAAAATAGCCAATAAAACAAAATGTCACAGCAAACCCATAATCATTTCACTTTTTCTCTCACAAACATCACATCCAACTACAAAAAAATCCAACTATCTTTCCAAACACAAAAATTTTAACCTCCTAAAATAGTCAAAAACTAAAGTAGCCTACTAAAATAACAACTTCCCAATTACCCACATAGTTGGCAAGGTTCCTAGTATGATTGGTCGTTTCAAAGGAGATAACGTCCCTGCCTTATTAGAATGATCAATCACCTGTTGTATGTCCATGTGCACAGATTACACGATTTGCATTTTGGCTTGCACAGACAATGTGCATGCCATCCACATCGCTATGTGTAAAATTGCTCAAAATCCGTAATACCCTGGAGTCTTGCATCCTTGAAACTGACCTATAGGTATGGCTGAATCACGCTCAATTTGGCGGATTTGATCTGATACCTAAAGAATTGACCTAGTGCCTTGTAGTCTCTGGAGAAGCAAACATGCTATTGCCTTTTCTTTTTTCAGTTGTATAATGTATTACCATTTTTTATAATTCATGTCTTGAGTTGGAGTTATTGTATTGCCAAAAGTTAAACTATGTTAATGTAAAAAAGAAATTAAAAATCTCAGTATATGCAATTAATTTCTTTAGTCTGTTTTATGTGCTCAGTAAATGTTTTGTCTGGTTGTTTTCATCATGATCTAACTTCTTTTTCTTTTTTTGTATTTTTTTTTTTGTGTTTTTTTTTGTTTTATCTGGAAATAGGTCAATGCAAGAGTTAGATTCAGGCCAGAATCTAAAGAGCTTCCGACACTCGAAGAAGAGGCGGGCTTACCAGAAGATTCTGCAGACTCAGCTGCTGGATTTGATGGATCGTCGCATACTTCAGAAAGTTTATATGCTGAAAAGCACGATACCTCTAGCACACACGAGAATGATAGCCTGAAAAGTACAGTGTCTGGTGATTTAAATGGACTTTCCAACTGTCAAAGCCCTCAGATAGAGAAAGGGGATACATCTGATCACCGAATTTTGTTGCAGCGAAGCAGTGATTGGGTTCAAGGATGGAGTTCAGACTATTCCATGGATAATGACTTATCAATTGCTTATGAGGAGAATAGTAGACTTAGAGCTAGTTTGGAAGTGGCTGAGTCTTCTATTGTTGAGCTTAAGTTGGAGGTAAGCTCTTTACAAAGTCATGCTGATGAAATAGGCATTGAAACACAAAGGTTTGCTCAACAACTTTCTGCTGAGGTTTCTTCAGGAGAACAACTGGCAAATGAGGTGTCTGTCATAAAGTCAGAATGTTCAAAGTTAAAAGATGATCTTGAACGGCTTAAAAATCTAAAATCGAACCCTCAGTTTGTGAACAGGGAAACTAGTAACACCAACCAGGATCATTTATTTGAAGGCATACAGCTCAGATGGCTGAAGGGGATTTTGTTAGTGGAGGATAAGATAAGAGAGCTTCAAAACAAGTTATACCTCAGCTTCCATGACAGAGACTTAAGGTTTCTTCCAGCAGACTTGGAGGCATTGCTCATTGTTTTGCAACAACTTAAGCAAGGAAATGGGGAAGCAATTTCTCTTCTGAAGTTACCATCAGAAAGCACAAATGTAGAGGAGATCAGAGAAATGAGTTCATGTCAAAGTGAACAATTTGTAACGGGTAATGGGTTTGATGTGGACTTGTATCAGCTACCAGACATGCTTCATTGTTTAAGCATACCTGGGCTAGTGTCTCGAGAACCAGATTCTATTGGTGCTACCGATGCAATGGAAGGCAAAATCTTTGAACTTTTAAGGGAGTTGGATGAAGCAAAAACTGAACGAGAAGGCCTTGTTAGAAAAATGAACCAGATGGAGTGCTACTATGAGGCTCTTATTCAGGAGCTTGAGGAAAATCAAAAGCAAATGCTAGGAGAGTTGCATAATCTCAGAAATGAGCACTCTACCTGCCTGTACACCATTGCAACCACCAGAACTGAGATGGAATCAATGTGCCAAAATATGAATGAGCAGATCTTAAAATTGACCGAAGAGAGACGTGATTTGGATTCCATTAGCAAGGAGCTTGAAAGAAGGGCTATTACTTCAGAAGCAGCACTAAGGAGGGCTCGCTTGAATTATTCCATTGCAGTGGGTCAATTACAAAAGGACCTTGATCTGCTTTCTTTCCAGGTTTCATCTATGTTTGAGACTAACGAGAACCTTATTAAACGAACTTTTTCAGAAACTTCACAAATATTCTTCCAAGGAGACACAGATTCAGTGCCGATCCCAGAAGAATCTGAGGCTGCTAAACCCGTGCAGTATCATAATCAAAATGAAGGGATAAATAAACAACTCTTGGGTGGAGATATTCTTTTAGAGGACATGAAAAAATCTCTCCTCTTGCAGGAAGGGCTTTACCAGAAGGTTGAAGAAGAACTCTCTGAGATGCATTTGGTAAACCTGCAGTCGGATGTTTTCTCAAAGATTCTACAAGAAACTTTGCTTGAAGCAAGTGCTGACATTGTCCTTACGAAAGAGACAATAGATGAACTCTCGCAGCAGTTAGAGTTTTCAGTTGAGTCCAAGAAGTTGTTGACACTGAAGCTGCAAAAGGCCATGGAGGATGTTCAGACCCTGAACGAGTGCAAAGCTAGTTGTATTGTCAAGTGCAGTGATATGGCTCTGAAGAATCAAATTTTAGAGGCAAAGTTAGAAAGCCTTTACAATGAAAATTGTCTCCTTGCTGAGAAGATTACAGAATGGGCATCACTGATGAGGGAATGTGAAAGCAAATATGAAGCTTGCTTTGCTGAGAAGACAGAGCTGGCAAATTTATTAAAACAGGATACTCTGGAAAATGGGAATCTTCAAAATAAGATATCCTCTTTGAAAGAAGAATTGAAAACTGTTAAAGTTGAATATGGTGAGCTGGCTCATTCAAAGGAAAATCTGCAGAGAATTGTCAACTTTCTGGAAGATAAGTTGGGGAGTCTGTTGGCATCTTATGACAAGCAACTCAATGGATTGTTTTCCTCAATGAATTCTGTGTGTCATGATTTGGGGTTGAGGGACTTCATGGGTATCATCTTGCAATTGGAAGAGATCCAGCGTAGTGCATGTGAAAAGATTCTTCAACTTTTGGAAGAGAAGAAAAATCTAGAGGATGAAATAGATATTGCTAAAGTGTCCTTAAGTACTGCCAAATCAGATATTCTGGTAATGAAGCAGAAGTTCAAGCATGACATACCGAATATGGTGACTAAACTAGAAGCGTCTAATGCCCTTGTGGAAAAGCTTCAGTTGGACCTTGAGGCTCTTTCTAATAAACTCCACATAAGCTCTGAAGCTGAAGAAAAATATGCACACCAAAGCAAAGAGCTTTTTGCTGATCTGGCTCTTATGGAAGCCGAGTTGCATCAGCTTACTGCTAAGAATATGGACCTTGCTAAAGAGATTTTGGGCTTGGACACTGTAACTGAGGAACTTGGAAGGAGTAAGTTGACCATTACTGAGTTAACACATGAAAAGCAAGATCTGATGATGTCTTTACAGGATAAAACTGAGGAATCTGTCAAGCTGGCTGCTGAGCTTGATGGTTTGAGAGAAAGTTTGAGATTTATGCATGATGAGTTGCACATTGAAAAAAGCTTTAGAGTTAAACTAGAGGGTACTATCATGAATCTTACTTCCCAATTGAATGAGAAGCATGACCAGTTGCTCCGTTTTTCCCAGCAGGAAACTGAATTGGTCCATTTCAGACAACTTGCATCAGATCTAGAACTAGAGAAGTCTAGGGTCTGCCATATTTTGCTGCAGCGTGAGGAATTTCTAGAAAAGTTTCATGAAAAATCTTCTTGTTTTATTGATCAGGAAATTCAGTTGTCAGAAATGCATAATTATATAATAGCTGCAGATGTTGAAGTAATCTTCATTAAATCTCAGTATGAAAACCGAATTGAGGAGCTTGCCTTGCAACTTCAGTCATCAGAGAGGCACCTTGGGGAGATTTCGCATTGCATTGAAGAAAAAGCAGACTTGGTGACAACTGTTGAGTCCCTGAGATCCGAATTAGAAGCCTCTATTGCTCAAAATGGACTTCTTGTAGATTTAAATGGTGTTATAGCTGTTCAATTGGAGGAATACAAGAAGAGGGTGGCAACATCGGAGGTTAATTTTTCTAAGGAAAAAAATGGGCATACTCGGGAGGTAGAACAGCTGAAGCATGTGTTGGAGCATTGTGAAGTGGAGATTGATAAATTGATGTCGTACAAGGAAGAATTGGAAGTCACTGTCATAGTTCTCAAATCCAAATTGAATGAGCTGCATGCTCATATAACCTCACAGGAAGAATGTAATGATGAACTGATGATGCTGCAGAAACACTGTAATGAGCTTGCCCAAAGGCTGTCTGAACAGATTTTGAAGACAGAAGAGTTTAAGAACTTGAGCATCCATTTAAAGGAGCTTAAAGACAAGGCTGATGCTGAATGTCGCCAGGCTCGTGGAAAAAAAGAACCTGAAGGACCATCAGTTGCTATGCAAGAGTCATTGAGAATTGCCTTCATCAAGGAACAGTATGAAACCAGGATGCAAGAATTGAGGCAACAGCTTTCTATTTCCAAGAAGCATGGAGAGGAAATCCTCTGGAAATTACAAGATTCCATTGATGAAATTGAGAATAGGAAGAAATCTGAAGCTTCTCACTTGAAGAGAAATGAAGAGCTATCACTGAAGATCTTGGAATTGGAGGCTGAATTACAGTCCTTAGTTTCTGAGAAATATGAAAAGATCAATACTTTTGACCATACAAAGGCTGAATTGGAATGTGCACTATTAAGCCTTGAATGCTGCAGGGAAGAAAAACAAAGGCTTGAAGCTTCTTTGCATGAGTGCAGTGAGGAGAATTCTAGAATTTCAAATGAACTTTCCCTGATGAAAGGACAACTGGTGAGCTCTGTATCTCCCATGGATGGTCAAAAGGAAGAAAGTGATGGATCAGATGAAGTTGGGCAGCATGTATTTAGTGACCGAGTTTTAGGAAAGGCTTATGAAGAAAATGCAGTTGCAGGTACACCAGGCCTTGAAAGTGTAACTGCAGGCAGTGCTGCGGATGGTTCAATTGGAATCCCCTTTTGCGTGGACCGAGATAGTTTAATGCACTATGAAGAAGTTGATGCAAGGTCAGTTCCAATAGTTGAAGGTGAACATTCAACTGTACCCAGGAATGCACAACCTGTTCAGGTAACTGCTTTTCTCTACATAATAAATGCGTAGAGTGCCTTTATTGGTCCATTGATGCTTGTAATTTGTGCATGGAGGCAGATAAACATGACTCAGAGATTATGATCTCTCTGGGCATTGTTTTGTTTTGAGGTTCTTTGAAATCAAGACAAGTTAGGAAACCATGATCGTGTTCTTGTGATAGCATACCTACAGCAGATTGGTGAACTATTGTTTGTACACGTTCTTGGTTGTTGACCCACCATTCGGTTGGTGTCCCAAAGAATACGAAAATGGCAAAATTGAAAGCCATTGTACCCATTATTTCCATATTGTTTGAATACTCCATCTCTTGTTCAATAGATTATGGTAATACAGATACTTATGATAAGACACCCTTTATTGGTCTATGTGAGTCCTTAAGCCTTGTGTTTGCTCTACATTTATCTGTCTTCATTCAGCAGGGCATCTTTAGTGCCTTAAGCCTTGCGTTTGCTCTACTTATGATAATTCAATATGCACATCCAATATGTATCTTATGTTAAATGTACCTTATGATATGATACACGATACACGATACATACAATACATGAATACTCAAATTTTCTTCAACATTTTTTGAAAAATTAACTCAACTTGTTAAAATTAATATTATTAGAAAGGTTCATTAACTTGTTAAAAAAGAAAGAATATTGTTAAGATGAAAAGACTACTTTGTCTTTTGTTTTGTAACTCGTGTACGAATATATTAAATATCTTATGCTATGATTCATACCTAGTTACATTGGATAAAGCTTAAAGTTATTTACTGTGAATAAAATATTTGAGAACATAAAAGTTGTAAATTAAAAAGTTTAAACATCAATGATAAATTAAGACAATATGGAAAACATATTATGCCATAATTAAGAATAAGAAAAATTTTGAGGGTAAATTTGATTTGAGCATATACTAGTATAGTGATCTGCTATATCATAATAATATATTCTAAATCTCTTTTCTTTTCCATATGTTTTTCTTAACACTTTGAAACTCAAAGACTTCACAGTCATAATTTGTATTCTATTATATTAATTATATGTGTTGGCTTATTCTACATCCCAATTATTATGTATTCTAGTGTGTGCAAACACAATGAACTAATTCCTTTACTTTGTGACATCGCTGAGCTGGTCAAAGCGTTAGCTTGGGCTATTGAGTCTAGTGAAATGAATATTTTTATCTCTTGGAAAAAAAAGGAACAAAATATCTAAAAATTCTAGTAATTGTATCATGCAAAAAGCCTGTTAAACGAGTAACACCCATCTTGCAACATCTGTACTGTTTCTGTGTGTGGCTACTGGCTCCCTATTTTAGTTGGTTTCTTTTGAGAGCCACTCCTTGTGAAGAAAATTGTTATTTTACTTCATTGGTTTATAATGATTTATTTTTGGTAGTTTATTTAAAGAGACTCACACACGAGCCTCTTTATTGGGAGAATGTGACTTGAGACACTAGTGTCCCCAGGGGATTTATTCTTTTATAATGATTTATGTAAGACTAGGCAGATATTTCATTTTTCTTTTTCTTTCACTATGAATGTGTTTTTTGAGATTTTCATTATGCACATTGAACAGTGCTTTCTAAGCAAACTTATGTTTGCAATCATTTAGCAGGACATCCTTGCATCAGAAAGTGTACATGGAATTTCAAAGCATGCATTTGTAGAGCAAGTGGCCTTTCCACACAATGACTCAAAGCATCTAGCAGTTGTCAATGATCATTTTAAAACCCAGTGTCTGAAGTCTAGCATGGATAACCTACATAAAGAGGTATTTCCTTTCTTTTTTTGTAATGGAAGTCACAAGTAAATTTTTTTTTTTTTTTTTTGTACTGGTATGTGGGTGAGGGTATGGAGGAAGGAGAGAGAGAATTAGAAAATTTGGGTTTGTCCGGCGGACGGTCAAGGCGAGGCTGCCGCCCGCCGGTGAAGCGGAATCACTAAGGTCTTAACGTGGCTCTGATACCATGTCAAAAATGATGTATTATTGATTGATTTATGTTGTCTATATTACAAATGGTGAGTGGTTCATTATATAGGAGAGGGTGAGTGTAGTAGGTGAGGAGTAGGTGAGGAGTAGGTGGTGGTAGGTGATGGTAAATTGGTGGTAAGTGATGGTAAATTTTAACACATTGGGTTGTTGGTGAGACCTGGGTTGGCTAGGCCATCAAAGAAGAAGTCTGATGAGTTGAAGGTTGGCTTGCATGCAAACCCATTGACTTTCACACCAGAAGAAGAATCGGCGACGCAAACATCTTGAAGCAAGTCAGGATCTGTAGAAACAGAGATACAAATGAAGGCTAAAGCGACAGAGATCCGACGGGCAGTCAAGGCAAGGTTGCCGCCCGCCGGAAGGCGAAGAACACCAAGATCTTTAACCTTGCTCTGATACCATGTAAAATAAATTGATGTATATTATTGATTGATGTGTATATTGTGTATATTACAAGGATTTATATAGGAGGATTTGGGAGTAGGTGAAGGTGGTAGTGGAGGTGGTAGGTGGAGTGGGTGGTAGTGGAGGTGGTAGGTGGAGTGGGTGGTAGTATTTACTTTTACAATTTACATTAACAATAAAGCTTAAAGTTATTTACTATGAATAAAATATTTGAGAACATAAAAGTTGTAAATTAAAAAGTTTAAACATCAATGATAAATTAAGACAATATGGAAAACATATTATGCCATAATTAAGAATAAGAAAAATTTTGAGGGTAAATTTGATTTGAGCATATAGTAGTATAGTGATCTGCTATATCATAATACTCCCTCCGTCCCAAAATAATGGTCCCTTTTGGGGAATCCAACTTTTTTTGGTAGTACAATTATTGCATTTGAAAAAAGTTAATTTTCCAAAATTACCCTTTTGATAGTACATTTTTTGGGAATATCAATGTCATTAATGTACTTTTTATATTGTTTATTAATTTAAAAGAAGGGCAAAATAGGAAATTTACATTATTTTTGTACTTGATTTTGAAGAGGGACTAATATTTTGGGACAATGAAAAATGGAATAAGGGACTAATATTTTGGGACGGAGGGAGTAATATATTCTAAATCTCTTTTCTTTTCCATATGTTTTTCTTAACACTTTGAAACACAAAGACTTCACAGTCATAATTTGTATTCTATTATATTAATTATATGTGTTGGCTTATTCTACATCCCAATTATTATGTATTCTAGTGTGTGTGCAAACACAATGAACTAATTCCTTTACTTTGTGACATCGCTGAGCTGGTCAAAGCGTTAGCTTGGGCTATTGAGTCTAGTGAAATGAATATTTTTATCTCTTGGAAAAAAAAGGAACAAAATATCTAAAAATTCTAGTAATTGTATCATGCAAAAAGCCTGTTAAACGAGTAACACCCATCTTGCAACATCTGTACTGTTTCTGTGTGTGGCTACTGGCTCCCTATTTTAGTTGGTTTCTTTTGAGAGCCACTCCTTGTGAAGAAAATTGTTATTTTACTTCATTGATTTATAATGATTTATTTTTGGTAGTTTATTTAAAGAGACTCACACACGAGCCTCTTTATTGGGAGAATGTGACTTGAGACACTAGAGTGTCCCCAGGGGATTTATTCTTTTATAATGATTTATGTAAGACTAGGCAGATATTTCATTTTTCTTTTTCTTTCACTATGAATGTGTTTTTTGAGATTTTCATTATGCACATTGAACAGTGCTTTCTAAGCAAACTTATGTTTGCAATCATTTAGCAGGACATCCTTGCATCAGAAAGTGTACATGGAATTTCAAAGCATGCATTTGTAGAGCAAGTGGCCTTTCCACACAATGACTCAAAGCATCTAGCAGTTGTCAATGATCATTTTAAAACCCAGTGTCTGAAGTCTAGCATGGATAACCTACATAAAGAGGTATTTCCTTTCTTTCTTTTTTTGTAATGGAAGTCACAAGTTTGCTTGTTCAGGACACTGTTGGTGGCAACCTAATATATCTCTTGTCCTATGATTGCAGTTGGAGAGAATGAAAAGTGAGAACTCCCTTCTTCAACAGGATAATCATCATTTTGACCCACATTTGGAAATTTTTCAGAGAGAATTGATGCAGTTACACAAAGTAAATTGAGCTACATCCTTGAGCACCTTACAATGTCTCAGTGCCCTCATTCAAGATTCTTATTTATTTATTTATTTATTTATTCATCTTCTTTTTCTTGTTATTTATTTATTTATTTGTGGCTTTTTAAGGCAAATGAAGAGTTGAGAAGCATTTTCCCTTTGTTTAATGAATTTCCGGGCAATGGGAATGCATTAGAAAGGGTACTTGCTTTGGAAGTTGAGCTTGCTGAAACGCTGCGGGCAAAGAAGAGGTCAAGCATCCTTTTACAGAGGTAGGTCATCCCTTTTCTTTTTCTTTTTCTCTTTTTTTTTTTTAATTTATTTATTTATTTTTTATTTTTATAATCAAATTCAATAGAAATAAATGTTGGCCTCGTTTGGGAAGTGGCTATTTTAGAGGTTTTTTGGCTTTTTGACTATTTTAGTAGGCTATTTTAGTTTTAGTGTTTGGGAAGATGAGATTGATTTTTATTTGAGTTGTTATATTGAAAAGTGTGTTGAAATGATGTTTGAGGTTGAAATGACAAATTTGTCCCTAATCTCATTTTTTTCAAATTTAGTGTAAAGGGGCAAAAGTGTCATTTTGTACCGGTGGGACAGCCATCAAGTGACGGGCTGGCTGCAGAGCCTATTTTCTATAGGCTGCAGAGCTATTTTCTTTTTTTTCTCTTTTTTGTTATAGTTATATCAATGGTTTAGCTACAGTGGTAGGCTAAATGGCTTTTTTTCATCCTGAGGCTATAATAGCCTACTTGAGGACTTCCCAACACCGCCGTTATATGAGCTGTTATAGTTCACACAACTTTTTCCTTCTTTGTCAGAGTAGATGGATACAATAATTTTTGCCTTTGTGGAAAGCTCAAACTATGGTTAATAAACATATTTATTTTGCCTGAGCTCCAAACACAAGGCCCAAAACCTGCATTTTGAGGTTTCTATAGCTTAAACCTGAGGTTCACTTCCAACAAAAATGCCTCTGCACTTCAGGGTCACACCTACTACAGGATGTGTTTTTCTTGTCTTGAAGCATATTTTATGTCACATCATACACCAAACATTAGACCATGTGTTGTACTCGTGTCTTGGCCTTGTGTTCTGCTTTGTCTTGGGTTATCTGTGCCTTCACCTATGCCTTCTAGTTACAACGAATTTACTTTTTATAGCCTTGAACTGTGCGACACTACTTGTTTTTATGTCTAAACATCAGTCAGCTTTGCTTCGCCTTGTAAACTATACCCATGTCCCACGGGCAGCCCTGCCCTCTACCTATTGTAGAGTTGAAGGTTTCTCCTCTTTTATGCTACCATTTTTTGTTTGCCCAATCTAGGTGTCCCAGACAGCAGCAAAGGTGACCTACTGTATGACCAGTCATCTGGCATGCTATTAGTTTAGCAAAGCATAAACACGGTTTACTAGCATATGGTTTGATGCCTGAAATCTGTCTCTGGGGGATTCAATCTATTTTCATATGAATTTTTTGCCCTAAAATAAGTAACAAATTTTAGTAGGGTTTTCTTGGCCTAAAATATCCATAAAAATCTTTTTTTAGTGCTTTCCTCACACCTTGTAGGCTTGCTAGTGAATATTTTTCTTTTACAGTTCAAGCTACCAGTTATGGCAGTTTTGTAATAGTGCCATAGAAACTCAGTAGTGATGCTCTGATGTTATTTAGGAAAACACGGACACCTTAAACACCGATCAGACTTGCACTACCAGAAGAAATCAAACTACTTGTAGTGTTTTACATGAAAAATGGTAGCTCAGTTTAGAATTTGACCGCCCTTCGCTCTTCTAAGATATATTAACACGCCTTTCCTTGATTGTCCAGTTCTTTTCTAAAACAACATGGTGATGAGCAAGCCATATTCCAAAGCTTTAGAGACATCAACGAGCTGATTGAAGAGATGTTGGAACTCAAGGGAAGGTATGCTGCTGTGGAGACTGAACTGAAAGAGATGCATGACCGTTACTCTCAACTGAGCCTCCAATTTGCTGAGGTCGAAGGAGAGAGACAGAAACTCACGATGACGCTCAAGAATGCCCGTACTTCCAAGAATTTCACTCATTTGAATGCCTGGTAGGCACAACAATGGTATCCCCACAGTTCAACAAGTCTTGCAAAGCTAATGGCATCTACCATGCTATGTTTAACTTATATATTTGACATCAGCATCTCATGGGCTACTGACCTTTTGCAAATTCAAAGATCAGAAGTTAAGATGCTGTTATGTTTATTTGTAAATAATGAATGCGCTCGCTTGATTTTCGCTCTTACAATATAGGGTGTAGATGTCTGTAATATGCGGACCTTATCCCTTTTTCTATTTTTGTTTTTTTTTGTTTTTTTGCCTTTTCTCTTTCTGTTGTAATTTCTCTGTATAGAAAATTATATTCTTTATTATCATTATTGATCTTATTTAAGTTCATGCAAGAAAAGCCTTTTGAAATGCCGCTTATGCTTCCTTATGACTGGAAATTGAGTTGTTGCATTCTTGATTCTTGCTTTATACCTGTGTTTATTGGTTCAATTACATTGTTTGCGTGCTTTCCTTTTTCAGTTGTGGATTAATGCATTGGATGATGGCTTGTTGAGCTGACCAACACACAAAAAAAAAATCCCAAATTTTTTTGTTGTTTTTTTTTTTTTTTTGGGTATTTATTGAAGGCTCTTGCTTCTCACTTTTTTTTTTGTTTTTTTGTGGGAAGGCATAAGCTTTTTATCAGCTACTTGTTTATAAAATTAAAAAAAAAATCACGTGAGAAACATTTACCAAATCCCTACCTAAGTCGAACATGGAATATTTTTATAGAAATGGGCACAAATGTGAAACAGAATAGATTCCACATATTGAGTCCACTATATGTGAGTGAGACCTACCGTTCGTCGCGTATGTGTTTCTTTCAATGAAAATCATCTATGTAGTTACATTTATTTTTTATAGGAGTATCAAAGGTGGACATATTCAATCTTTTTCTTCCCTCCACAAATACATAATCTAAACACAACATTAATGCGACCATCATTGGATCGAACACAATAATTAAAGGCTTTCAACCCATATAAACCTACTTATAAATCCTAATGAAGAAAATAAATTCAAACAAACCTAGTAAGAGTCGCACCATGTACATTTTAAACATATCATGAGAAGAACTAATAATTCACTGTACTTATTTGAAGTTGTCGTGAAACAATTAAACCAAACTCAAACCAAAAAATGTTTTTCTTCTGTTTGATTTTTTCCTTCTTTCCTTTCTTTTTTCCCCTCCCCTTCTGGGAAAGTTTTCTGCACCAACTAAGCTTCTCTCCAACAACCCACCCAACTCCTCAGATTTTTCAACTATTGAGGAACCACAAAACATTTTACTGTGAGAAATCAAAACATCAAAGCGACAAATAACCTCCAAGATTCTTGTTTCTTCAGCAGCCGCTTGAATCCAAGAATACTCGAAATCTGGAGAGGCTTCTGAAACGAATCTCTCAGTGATCATCCGATGCATGGAGAGAGACATAGAGAGATCAACTGATGAAGCATTGTCAATCTTGTCATCTTTGGGGTTTACAGGATGGAGCATGAACACCTGTTCTTCAGGAAATCATTGTGCAGTTTTTCTGTTGACAAATGCATTAAGCATCATCTAGTGCTTGTGCACAATCATTGGTGACAGCAACTTTAAGCAGCAGTTCAATGAGGCTTCTGAGGCAATAAAATGCATAGGAAAGACCAGAGAAGGTTCAAATAAAATGGAGTAACATCCAAGCCACATGAAATTTTGAAAAGAAATAGCAAATATAGTTAAAAGAACACAAATTAATTGAACAAGGAACTATGAGGAACCATGACGCACGCTCAAGAAAGCATAACATATGTTGTAGATCATCATAAAAAAATGCATATGTCTAAATTACCACTGTTTTTTTCTGAAAAAGGAGGACGCACGACAATGTGCATAGTGATGATCCCTCCTGGAGGTTCGACAATTGGGAGTCTGAACTCAGCAAGTGTCTTGTTTTTCAGTATCTTTCCAGCATTAATAAGCTTCACGTCATTTATACTCTTTGGAACATTTTCTTTATCCAGAACATTGAAACACAGACGACATTATTCTTATAACTTTTCAAGGTTTAAGGAGAGCTAGAACTATTAAATAATGATGTATTATTGATTGATATTTGTTTTGATGTATTGTATGTACATTATATAGGAGATGGAGATGTGAAGTGGAGGTGAAGTGGTGGAGTAGGTGAAGTGGAGGTGGAGTGGTGTAGTGGGTTAGGTTTAGTGGAGTAGGTTTAGGTGTACATTAACAGCCCCCCTCAAACTCAAGGAGGATAGGAACTAACCAACTTGAGTTTGAAGAGAGTAACAAAACAGGAAAGTAAACTGATAAATAAAATAAAACAGGATATGAGACACGGTATGGTCGTGTCAGACCGATGTAGCAGACAGTTTATGGGGTCATGTCGGACCGTTGTAGCAGACACTGTGTGGTTGTGTCAGACCGATGTAGAAGACAGTTTATGGGGTCATGTCGGACCGATGTAGAAGACAGTTTACGGGGTCATGTCGGACCGTTGTAGCAGACACTGTGTGGTCGTGTCAGACCGATGTAGAAGACAGTTTATGGGGTCATGTCGGACCGATGTAGAAGACAATTTACGGGGTCATGTCAGACCGTTGTAGCAGACACAGTGTGGTCGTGTCAGACCGATGTAGAAGACAGTTTACGGGGTCATGTCGGACCGTTGTAGCAGATTGTGGTGGTGCACCAAGGGGGGCGACTTAGGGAGTGTGCATGAGCGACTTATACATGATACTGTGTATAACCCCCCCTCAAACTCAAATAGGTGTGAAGATAGAAACCTATTTGAGGTTGAAACAAAGGGATTGATAAAGCTGACCGGTGTAGAAGACACTGTATGAGTGTGTATATAGGCTGCCCAAAAGATATACATGGATATAGATATCGAGCCCGCAAAAGTCGTGCCCTCAAAAAGTGTGCCCAATCTTTCAAAAGGCGTGTCATCAAAAGGCGTGCCCAATCCATAAAAAGGTGTGCCATCAAAAGGCGTGCCCAGTTTGTCGTCGAGCGCCGAGCGGCGCATGATGCGCGTGTCTGCCTTGGCTATAAGACGGAGGCTGAGGCTGAGGCGAAGACAAACAACTTGCGAAGAAAAACTTCTGAAAAAAAAAAGTCTGCGTTTGTGGAGAGAGAAACTCTGTAACACTCTGTAACACTCGGTTGCCCAGAACATGGCCTCGTCTTCCCGTTCAGCTATCCAGAATATGGCCTCTTCGTCCCGTGGTCTGCTCACTCTCTTTCCCGACCTCAACGAGTCAACAAGAGAGATAACTGGTGCGGTGGCCAGTGAACCTCAACCAAGCGCCTCTGGTTTTGCTCCGTTGAACTTTCCGATGCGGTCGGTGGAGCAAAAAATTACGGTGCAAACTGATATTGAGGCCAATCAGTATACTTTGAAGGCATGTGTGGATACCATGACGGCGGTCACAAACCTGTCGCACCGGCTGCTGAGTAGGACAAATGAGGTGCAGCAGTTAAACGTCCAACTGGCTCTGCTCCAACGCATGTATAAGAATGCGCGAGCAGAGATAAGTGTGCTAAAAGCAGAAAACAAGGAACTGAAGCGGAAGGCCACCGTGATGTTCTGATTTGGAGGTCCACCATATGCTGTAGTGGAGGAGTAGGGTGGAGTGATCGTGCCCAGTGGAGTGGGAAACACGGAGGCAACACCGTCAAGGGCCGCTCAGGACGGAGGCAAGAAGAAGAGACCGGCGGCAGAGTAGAGAAGAAAAATTCTGCCTGTGGATGTGGTGGTTGTGGTATTGGTTGTTTTTTTTTTGTTTTTTTGTTTTTTTTTTGTTTTTTTGTTTTTTTTATTTGGTGTAAAATTGTGATCGGGGTTGATCCCTGAGATGAATAAAATATTTGTTTTTTTTTTTTTTTGGGGTATTTGTTGAAGGCTCTTGCTTCTCACTTTTTTTGTTGTTTTTTTGTTTTTTTGTGGGAAGGCATAAGCTTTTTATCAGCTACTTTTATAAAATTAAAAAAAAAATCACGTGAGAAACATTTACCAAATCCCTACCTAAGTCGAACATGGAATATTTTTATAGAAATGGGCACAAATGTGAAACAGAATAGATTCCACATATTGAGTCCACTATATGTGAGTGAGACCTACCATTCGTCGCGTATGTGTGTCTTTCAATGAAAATCATCTATGTAGTTACATTTATCTTTTATAGGAGTATCAAAGTTGGACATATTCAATCTTTTTCTTCCCTCCACAAATACATAATCTAAACACAACATTAATGCGACCATCATTGGATCGAACACAATAATTAAAGGCTTTCAACCCATATAAACCTACTTATAAATCCTAATGAAGAAAATAAATTCAAACAAACCTAGTCAGAGTCGCCCCATGTACATTTTAAACATTTCATGAGAAGAACTAATAATTCACTGTACTTATTTGAAGTTGTCGTGAAACAATTAAACCAAACTCAAACCAGAAAATGTTTTTCTTCTGTTTGATTTTTTCCTTCTTTCCTTTCTTTTTTCCCCTCCCCTTCTGGGAAAGTTTTCTGCACCAACTAAGCTCTCTCTCCAACAACCCACCCAACTCCTCAGATTTTTCAACTATTGAGGAACCACAAAACATTTTACTGTGAGAAATCAAAACATCAAAGCAACAAATAACCTCCAAGATTCTTGTTTCTTCAGCAGCCGCTTGAATCCAAGAATACTCGAAATCTGGAGAGGCTTCTGAAACGAATCTCTCAGTGATCATCCAATGCATGGAGAGAGACATAGAGAGACCAACTGATGAAGCATTGTCAATCTTGTCATCTTTGGGGTTTACATGATGGAGCATGAACACCTGTTCTTCAGGAAATCATTGTGCAGTTTTTCTGTTGACAAATGCATTAAGCATCATCTAGTGCTTGTGCACAATCATTGGTGACAGCAACTTTAAGCAGCAGTTCAATGAGGCTTCTGAGGCAATAAAATGCATAGGAAAGACCAGAGAAGGTTCAAATAAAATGGAGTAACATCCAAGCCACATGAAATTTTGAAAAGAAATAGCAAATATAGTTAAAAGAACACAAATTAATTGAACAAGGAACTATGAGGAACCATGACGCACGCTCTAGAAAGCATAACATATGTTGTAGATCATCATAAAAAAATGCGTATGTATAAATTACCACTGTTTTTGTCTGAAAAAGGAGGACGCACGACAATGTGCATAGTGATGATCCCTCCTGGAAGTTCGACAATTGAGAGTCTGAACTCAGCAAGTGTCTTGTTTTCCAGTATCTTTCCAGCATTAATAAGCTCCACGTCATTTATACTCTTTGGAACATTTTCTTTATCCAGAACATTGAAACAAAGACGACATTATTCTTATAACTTTTCTAGGTTTAAGGAAAGCTAGAACAAACTTCAAAGAACTTTAAGCTCTAGATTCGTAAAGAAGTATAAAACTGAATGCCAATGACACCAGCGCAGTGAATAGAACAAATGGATATTATTTTTTACTTTTATTATAGCCACAATATAATCTTTACTCGTATGAACTTCTCATCATAGCTGGTCATTATTGTCCATGAGACCAAATCTGTTATTTTGGGTGACTGGGCTGTCTATAGTATTGCTGGACTTTTGCGGCAACATTGTGTTGCCAGCCCCAAATAGTTTGGAACGAGGTACTTATTTTCAACCACTAAAGCAATGTCTTGAGCCCATAAACTAAAAACAAACACCTTGAAGCTTGAACATCTCACCAAGCCAACTGCAATAAGATGGAGGGGGAAAAAGAGAAGAAAGCAAGAATGGAAAGAAAGGATTTTTAAATAGGTACGTATTGTCTAAATCCTACGCATAGCATGCAGATAGAAAACTAATCACAATCATATGCATAGCATCCAAAGTTTTGGGAGAGTTCCCAAGTCATGGAACAATAAGGCTGCGTTTGGATTTGGATTTGTAAAGGACCAGAAAGCAAAGGAAAATGTATGAAGTAGAAGCTAATTTTTTTTTTTTTCCCTTCCCATATCTTTTTCCCTCCACAAATCCATGATCCAATTAAGATTCTATGAAGGTCCATTGAACAATATATAAGAAATGTAGAAGGACGAGCAAATAAGGTGTCTACTTTTAGGAGATTCATATGTAGATTAATAAATGAACTTAATGTCCAATAGATCCTGTGATAATTAATGATGTTTTTTATCAAACACTATTAGAAAATGCCACTAATTGTTAATTTTTAGCGACATTTTGAAAATTTGGTTACAAATATGTTACTACTTATAAGTTTTAGCGACGGTTTAAAAAAATAGTCACAAAAGTCCCTAGTTTTTAACTTTCAGCGATAATTTGAAAAATTTGTCACAAGAAAATATCATTAATTGTAAGTTTTCGAGACAATTTATAAAAATCGTGACAAAAAAATCGCTAATTGTCAATGTTTAGCGATATGCAAAAAATCGTCGTAAAAAATAATTTTTAGTGACGATTTTACTACAACTAACTTTCAATAGGACTTAATAAGAATTAAGTTCAACTAGTAATTTACCCATCGTTTTATCTACTACTTTGTCTTTAAAAAACTTGTTTAGAAGACTTTATTAGTTTGCAATATAAATTGAACGAAATAAAACAATATACTTCATATTGAACTTTTTGGAATGATCCAAATTCCACTATTTTGGCTAAGAATAAATAAGTTCTATAACCCGCACGGATGGCCTAGTGATTAAGGGGTTGAACATGGAAGCTCCAGTGTTGGTTAATTTTCGACCCTCATGGGATGCAAAAACACTAAGGTTTAAACCAATACACGTGGTTTGCGGGTGATTGTGCATATTCGAAATTTATTCATAAGGCCTCATAATGGATGAAAGAGTGGGCCGGTTGGAGTTCTCTATTATTAAAAAACAATAAGAAAAATGAAAGAAGTGACATTTTAAAGACATTTTTATGCCAAAAACAAAAAATTAATATGGACCATCATAAATTCATTACCACTGATGAGCCAACTTGCAAAGACAAATAATAGAACAACTCTCAATTTGTTTTAAGGTAAAAACTACTGTATAAGGAAGCAAATACAAGAGAGAAAGGGTCCTTAAACAGCAAATTATATATCAAAACTGTATATAAGAACCATCTGACTTTCAAGCAAAAAACAAACACAAGATAGCAATGCAGAAGGTTCAAAACACATCCAAATTTCAATTTCAAAATTCAAAATTTTAGAGTAATAGGATTTTAAACCTTTAGGCCATTGAGCAAGTATCTTTCGTTTGAGAGATACCACAGTGGTACTAGGGCTATACTTGCTCGGTCTGATGTCTGTGCCATCTCCAAGCCTGAATTTGAGCTCAATCAAATCCTCTCCAGCCATTCTAGAACCTCCAACCAAAACCCCACCTCAAATTCTCATAATCAGAAACCCAAAACAGCTCAAACTATGCAATGATCCAACCTCCATTCAATCAATTCAACAAATCAATCTTATAGGCAAAATCTTCAAGAACCCAGATCAAATCTCACTAGATCACACCTAAAAGCTGCTCAAAAGAACCCAAAAAAAAAAAAAAAAGTGCCCACAAATCCAACAAATGAACCCATTAGTTTAGACAAATTTGCACCAAAATTAGAGACCTTTGAAATCAATCCAAAGACCCTTGAAAATTTATGGGAAAGATTCACAAAAAAAAAATAAAAATAAATTGCGAACTGGTGGTGGGTTGTTGATAATGGGGATGGATTCTATACCTGTCAGCAGAAAAAGAATGACAGAATTGTTGCAATTGCTTGATGTATAAAAATAAAGAAAAAGAAAAACTACCCAGATGGAAAAACCTTCCAAAGTTCGATTTTTCAACCTGAATCTAACTGAAAATTTTGGAAATCAACTTTTTACATAGCTACCCTCTTTACACATTAACACACAAGAACCACAACATTTTTCTTTACTTGGGATATGTTTTAATTTTTAATTTTTTAGACAGTCTGTAGAATTTCTATTAACACTTGAACAATGCTCAAAATACATGTTGAGAGTATTGATTTGTATATTAATATGATTAAATGAAAATTTCATAGTAAGTACATAATTTAATAGGGAAAAAAATCATAAAATAATAGAAAAAGTTACATTCAGTTGGTTTATGTCCAAATGGCTATGGAATTGTCTTTCGTCTAAACATATATTAATTATTCGTTGTTACATTAGCTATCGGAGGAATTAAACTCTCTACATTTCCTTCACAAGTATCCAAGAGCTATCTTCATGCCAAAGGATCATGGGCATATTTTTGTACAAATAATTCCCATTACAATTTTAATTAGGCAAAATTCTACCATCCCTGTCCTAAAATATAACCATCACCATAGAATGGAACTTTGTTGTGCACAAGAGCCAAATAAAATGCAACATAATGCATGCACTTTCTTGTGTCTAGTGGGGCAAAATTAATTTTTCCACACTAGCTTGAGGTGATGAAGGTGGGATCAACACATGCAATTCTCACTCACTCTTGTTGAACTTGCAAACACAAATGAAGAACTCACTCTGGTAGGATATTAGCCCGAAGACGATTCGATGCTTAAGTCAATGACATCTAAAGTTAGATTACTCTCATTATCTATGTTGGAGTGTTACAAGTTTGTATACTTGAACCTTGTGGGGTTTTCTTTGTTTTATATATGTCCATTTGATTGTTGAAAGTTTTTAGCAACTACCTATGCACATCACTCTATCTTAGGCAGGATCGTGTCCTTGTCCAACGATATTGCAGGAAGAGATGAGCATAATCCTACTTTTTGTGGACTCAACTTTGACTTGATCCTTCCCAACTTAGGTTAAATCATGTAACTTAATACCTTGGTCGTATAAATCCTACCATGTGTCATGCTCGGCCATGCAGCGTGACTGCTCAATTTTATCTCTCACAACAATGTATATGGTTAGAAGTTTTTAATTTAGAGAGTTATAAGACTTGTATATGATGTATTGTTGTGCATAACAGTCAGAAAGTTTTTAAGGGACATATATCAGAAATGGGAAGAAGTATACAAGTAGGGGTGTCCTATCTCATGGAGAAGTAATTATTAAGAACCTGTATAACATAAGAAGTGGTGGCATTTAGTAATTAATTTGGAATACCACACACCAGTGCTATGTGATACATTTCATATTTGATAATTTTTTTCCAAACGAGTGAATACCCAATAAGCTAACAGTACATATAGAATAAATAAATAAATAAAACTTAGAATGAAACAGGATTCTTTATCCCAAAAAATAGGGTAAATTATAAATACATCTACTGAGGTTTGATTAAAATACAAGTGTCTCTTGTGGTTCGGAAAATTACATTCTGCCCCCTTGAAGTTTATAATTTTATAACAAATTGTCCATTTTATTAATAAATTATCAAGTCAATTAACAGTTATTAATGATATTAAAAATATATTTCAATTAATAATTTAAGTAATTTTATTATTATATAGGAGAGTAATTATGAATTTAATTTTTTTGGTTAAGTCTGTCAAATAATTTTTTTTAATAATGAGATATTTGTAATTTTTTAAATCCCAAGAGATAATTTATATTTTAAGCAAATCTCATGATGTATTTATAATTTATTCCAGAAATATATATCTGATATCCTAAGAGAATAAAGCAATTGAGAGAGGGGGAGAAAGAGAGAGAGAGAGAGATAGAGGTCGTGCATTGCTTAGTTGATGGGTCAACAACTCTTACAAGAACATTTTAGCCTTCATGTGATTGCGATTGCATCCACTTTTGAGTCAACAATAATGCTGCAATGGTTGCTGCTATTACTTGTAGCATTATTTGGGTAGGTTGGTTTAAAAGAATTATAATTTATTAGGTTTTTAATTTTGAGATAATTATTCAGTTAAAAATAATATGTATCTCATATTTTTTAGTTATAAGATTAGACGTTAGAAAATAATTATCTTATTGAATCTTATATTTAATTGAAATATTATAAAGAAAGATAAATGCTCAATTTTTTTTTTTTGTCTTTTTAAATTATTTACTAAATAATAGTAATATTAAATATGATTGATAAATTTTATTATATTTTACCAAGTATAATAGATAACATTAAAATGAATACCAATAAAAATTACAAGTGTTAAAATCTAAACTGAATATGAAACATAAAGTCAAAATTTCCCAACACAATGGATGCATTAAATGTCATAATGCAAATTAGAATTAGTTATCCAACAACAACCATACAAATTCAAGTAGACTATATCACAAGTAAATATTTTCTAATTTTTTATAAAAATAAAAAATAAAAAATTAGTTTGACAAAAATAAATATCAAAATTATATTTTTGAATTTTTAAATTATATTTTTTATTTTTTTATTTTCTTCACAAAACTAATTTTTAGTTTTTTAGGAAAAAAATTTGCAATAAGTTTTTAAAAAACAAACCAAACATGGCCTAAATACTTGGAGGGCAAAATTTTCTTTTTATCAGCTAATCCAGAGGAGGGCTAGTCCAACACTTTTGTATCTCACCCCCTCCCCCAAGACAGGATTGTCTCCACATATAAGGGACTAAACAGTCCAATCAGACTATTAGTTCGACTTACAATTTTTTTAATCAAAGAACGGCCTAGGGGAGATATTAGACATGAGATCCAATCACCCTTTAATCCATTCAAACAAACACCCTGGAGTCGCACACTAGACTTTCCAATTCCATATTTTTAAATGAGCACTTATTGGTAACTCGAATTTGAATATGCTCTGAATTGCCCAAATTTTTGCTTGTCGGTCATTTGGCCGGTCATCCAGCAACAAGGTGACAGTCGCAGTCGGCAAGAATGACAATTACGATAAACAAGTGTTGCACCGATCCGTCGAGCGATCGACCAGCATGCACAAATTCGAGCCATTCAAACAAATTCAAATTCAAGTCACCAACCATTTTTGTTTTTAAATACATAAAATGGGAGTTAAATACATATGAAGCAAAATGGTGACATGATTTTATTTTTTCCATCATATATTCCCTTATAGAATAATACTTTTCTTTTTGTTTTTCTTTTTCTTTCTTAAATACAATAAGGAGCCAATGATAAAATTCTTTATCATTTAAAATTGTTGATTTTTATCAATTCTTGAACTTCTCTAATGATAATAGAAAAAGAGATAGATGAAAATTGAAAATATAATACTTTTTTGGATTTATTACACTTTTACTTCTAAATTATTGTCAAATTGAATTTAGTTTCTGAATTATTGATTAAAGGGAAAATTAGTCTATCATCTCTCTCTAATTTTTAGTAATGGAATAGATCCACAATATTTTCTTTTGTAGACTAAGGTCCCTCACCCCACACCCTTATATCACACCTACATTCTCATTCTCTCTCTACTATCCTCTCTCTCTCTCTACTCTCTCTCTCTCTCTCTCTCATTTTTTCTCTCTACCAGCATTCACAAATTCGAGCCATTCAAACAAATTCAAATTCAAATTCAAGTCACCAATCATTTTTGTTTTTAAATATATAAAATGGGAGTTAAATACATATGAAGCAAAATGGTGACATGATTTTATTTTTTCCAGCATATATTCCCTTATAGAATAATACTTTTCTTTTTGTTTTCTTTTTCTTTCTTAAATACAATAAGGAGCCAATGATAAAATTCTTTATCATTTAAAATTGTTGATTTTTATCAATTCTTGAACTTCTCTAATGATAATAGAAAAAGAGATAGATGAAAATTGAAAATATAATACTTTTTTGGATTTATTACACTTTTTACTTCTAAATTATTGTCAAATTGAATTTAGTTTCTGAATTATTGATTAAAGGGAAAATTAGTCTATCATCTCTCTCTATTTTTTAGTAATGGAATAAGTCCATAATATTTTCTTTTGTAGTCTAAGGTCCCTCACCCCTACACCCTTATATCACACCTACACACACTCTCTCTCTCTCTCTCTCTCTTTCTCTCTCTCTCTCTCTCTCTAAGTAGTAGTGATGACATCTCCAAACATGGCAACAATCACACTATCCTTGAAGAGATCGCGGCAAAACTATTCGGCGGTATCAGATACGCCGGAGATGACGACAGACATCTTCTTCTCGGCATCTAGAAGGTTCCACACGAGCATTTGCATCCTGAATATGCATATGAAGAGGCCGATGTTTACATTTTGCGAAAGAAATTGTAGCTGTAGCATACACATATCTGGTAAGTCTTGGAATTCGGAGTGGAGACAAACTATTCTATTCATGGGGAATTTCTTGTTAAAACTAAATTTAAGTGGAGAAAACTTTATTTGAAATTTGTGATTATTGACTGCTTTAGTATTATTTTGTGGGTTTGTTAGTAAAGATTGCATTGTTGACTTACATATTACACAATGTCAAAGAAATTCTTTGTGAATAGAGTTAGAGAAATTTGTGAACTTAGAGAAATTTTCTGTAGCTCTATTCACAAATTTTCTCTACACAATTTTTCTCTGGATAGAGTCACACAAAGCCATACAAATTTTCTCTACACAATTTTCTTTGGATAGAACCACACAAATTTTCTCTAACACAATTTTCTTTGGATAGAGCCACACAAAGCTACACAAATTTTCTCTACACAATTTTCTCTGGATAGAGTCACACAAAGTCACACAAATTTTCTCTAACACAATTTTCTCTAGATAAAGCCACACAAATTTTCTCTACACAATTTTCTCTAGATAAAGTCAAACAAAGCCACACAAATTTTCTCTACACAATTTTCTCTGGATAGAGCCATACAAAAGCCACACAAATTTTCTCTGGATTTCTTTGGTACTTAGAGAAATTTCAATTTTTTTTTTGGTTTGAAACTAGAAAAATTCTTTGGGAAGTCCAGAATTTCTCTGGAGAGAATTTCTCTGAGATTGAAATTTTCCTAGATCGATGTTGAGAAACCTTAGACATTATGAAAATATTGAATCTTTTATGTTATAAAATCTTAATACCAGGAACCCTAAAAAAAATCCTCTTGATTAAATCTATTCAGTCCCTAAAGTATATAAATCAAAGTTTATTTAGTCCTTAAACTATTGATTGAATCTATTAATTCTTAAAAATTTTAATTCAAACCTATTTAGTCCCTAAAAGAATTACAAATGCGCTCATAAGTACTATAAATTAGCAAAATATCCTACCTAATTAAGATTTTATTACATAAAAATCTTAAAATTTTATCTTGTCTATAAAAAATATTTTATTTCATTATGTGTTTAAATTAGTATTAAAATTTAATTTTTTAGCCTTGTCAATAAAATTATATAAATATTAGATATATTGAAAAAAAATAGGATTAGATAATTTAAATAATAATAGAACGAAAAGAACTTAACGAAAACCTAAAAAATAATCAATTGAAAATTATAAAAAGAACTTACTTTTAAAAAATAGAATAAAAATTTTAAAAAAAGAATTGAAATAAAACTTTAATTAGATAGGGACTTTTATTAATATGGACTTATATTTTATTTTTGTAATCTTTTTAAGGACTAAATAAATTTGAATTAAATACTTAGATTTAATATATTCAATCGATAATTTAAGGACTAATTTTTTTTTTTAATTTATATACTTTAGAAGCATAGTAGACTCAATCAATAGTTCAGAAACTAAATAGATAATTTGATAATGATTTAGGGATATGAAATATAATAAACCTCATTATTTTTTTGTATTTAGCTAACTTAAAAGGACTTGCTAAATGTAACAGACAAAATTGGCAAGAGGCAAAATGACTAACCATTTGAAGAGCCTTATGCTCAGTTTGTTCGGATAAAAAAATATTTTTTCACATTTTCTAATATTTGGTATGACTAAAAAAAAAATCAACAAAAAAATATTTTCCTGAAAACCTGAAACTAAACTTTTTGAGCAAAAAATATTCTTCATATTTTTAAAATACGAAAATATATCTAATATTTATGTAATTTTATTGACGAGGCTAAAAAATTCTTCATAATAAGTCTTTTAAGTCGGTGTTTACCTGTTCTTCAAGTCAGATGTTGTCATATGAAAGTCCTTAAGTCGATGTTTACCTGTATGTAAGTCAGATGTAGTCACATGTTGGAAGGGAAACTTCCCATAATATGAACACTCTTTTCAATCACGAAATCACTAAAAGGAGGAGGTTTAGTAGTATAAATGTTGCAGAAGATACAACCCAGTCTTGGACTTAAAATTATGCACGTCATGTGCTCGATCTAGCAATTTTTGACAATTGTTTTGATGAACTGTCACTAAACTAAAAAAGAAGGAAGAGAAATAACTCAAAAACTTCCATTTCTGGGGTGGAAAAGATTCAACAGAGACATGCATGTAATAAACATCAACTGCCCAGAGAACATATATATGCCTGTGGATCACAATCCATGCAACTATGGTTCTGCTTGGTGCAATTATACTTGTGACACCACTTAGCCGACAATCCTCTAACCAACTGACTCAATTTAGAAAATTTCTGAACCAAACATAAAATTGCTTAAATAGTACCTTAACCAGGTATTAAGATATTGCTCCAACTCCATCATTATAAATTTATATCCATGGCAAGTCTACAGCAAGCCCATAAATCATGTCATGAACTATCCACAATAACATGTTTGATATAAAAGTTTTGCATAAAATATATAAACTTCTAACAGTTACAAACAGACATTATAAAACTCAATGGACATAAGCTTCTTCAGAGCAAGACGACATAAAGGTTTTTCACCACAGTTCCAAACATTGATATTGATATCTTCAGCATCTTGATCCAGTCAACCACCAAGGTGATGCAAAAGTAAAAGCAAAAGCAGTCTTCAAATGGCATCCTACAAGCAATAGAAGGGGTTGCACTCTTTCATGAGAAGATTTATCCACCACATTAAGCTTGTTTTAGCTCAAATACACTGTAATCTCCTTTTAGGTTCAAAAATGAAGATAGAGAGATCAAGAACATTAGAAACAACCAATTAAAGGTGGTCATCATACAAAACCCATCAAAGGTAATTATGCCCTAAATATATCATTACAAACTTTTAAGTTCAAAAATTATGAAACTAACCTTAATCAGACACACTTGAAACTTGTCGAGCAACAGCAGAGGAGCAGAAAGAAGGGCGAGAGCTCACGCACACGGTGAAGGCTTTTGCCCCATGCTCCTGCACCGGATCGGAGTAATAGTTTATTGATTGCTAATCAGAGTCTTCATAAACTTCTCCATCATCAGAAAGCTCATCGAATGATCGAATATCAAGCTGATAACGGAGGATTCCTCCGATTCCTCCAAAACCTCTGCAGAACTGAGATCCCTCCTGCGATTTATTGGTGACGAACTCCAAGGTGCATCCAAATTTTTTGTACTCATTAGCAAACCATTCAAGAAGTGAAGTTTTATCCTGAACCTCCAATTCAGCAGCGGTTCCAGCATCTCGAAAGTTACTTTGATCAGCCTCCTGCTCCTTGTTCAAGTGTTTTATAACAATTTCACCTGTAGCACTATTTTTCAGCACATACCTATTAATATCCAGATTTTCCCAAACGATAAGTGTCTCAACTGCACCCATCTCCAGCGCTTTCAATGTATCATCCACACCAAAAACATACTTCCCAGTATCCTGACTGATTTCCTCAAAGTACTTACCTATCAAGCGCTTCTCCTGTATAAACTTGACATTTGAGAGGATCTCTGAGGACAATTCAATTGCCTGATTGAAACCATTTTCCCCTCCATAAGAAACATCCACTACGTTCAGAATTTTTGCCTGAAGACGGGGGTCAAACATATCAGACTGACTCAGCTCAGTCTTGAAGTCTGCTGATCCAGCAAGAATCAATCCTGAAACATTGGGCTGGCTGGTGGCAGGGTTAATAAAAAATTGTGTAGCCAGCTCTGCTGTCTTTCTAACATAGTTGTGGCGCTTCTCCATTCGAAGACGAGCAAAACGGAGAGCTGACTGCCCTCCTCTTCCGTGTTTCTTTGGGAGGTCAACAGAAAATTTGTGAAGCACCTCTCTTGTGTTGCCACTTAATGTACCAAATAGGGTTCCATTTCCATCCATAACAATAAAACCAAACTTGTCATCTGATTCTAAAAGTTCATTCAGAGCTTCTGTATGGAACTTGTTGTCACAAAGATACAGTGATGCATTTATGGGCCTGAAAGGTTCAAAGTCAATTGTTACCTTCTTCTCTTTTCCATCATCAGTTACAATTGTCCCAGTGTACAGCACAAGACCATTGGGAGGAACTTTATTGTAAAGCTTAAGTCTCTGCTGAGCAGATGTGATTGCTCCTAGAACAGACTGACGATTAACCCTGCTTTTGATGTTTGAAGCGGTTCCAAATTCATCCCCCAGCATCTTAGTAACCCGAGATATTTGATCACGTGGAGGCATAATAAGAGAAATCATGCTGGTGCCATTGCCTCTAGCAGCTTCCAGTGCCTTAATCAACTTCTTGATCTTCCATATCTCAATGTTCTTATCAGTTTCATGACCATCTGACATTGTGAAGAACAAAAAAAAGTTCCCAAACAGTAATACAAGTGCCTGCAAAAATAACATGAAACTAACTCAACTTTTGAAAAGAAGAAAAAAAGTTATTTATCAAAAAAAAAAAAAAAACTAGAGAAGGAAAGTTACATACATGGAAGTCGAACACTAAGTTACAATAGAAGAAAGGGGGAATTACATCCCGGTGGGATTAAAAAAAAAAATTTGTACACAAACATAGTGCAAGTGACACTTGCACCCCCCACAGCTTTTCACTTGCACTACAAAATGACTTGCACCCTACATGTCTTTGTAATATTTTTTTCTGTGTCCCACTATGCTGTAATTCCCCTTAGAAGAAAAGGCAAGTTCCAGATAACACATTTGAGTGCATTGGATATACGCCAGGAATGGGCACTCTGTTCAAGACATCGAGCAATATTCATTCTATTACTGTGAACTGCGTAAAGTAAAACAACTCAGAATGTCAATGAACACATGTTTTCCTCTTCCAATGGACACCTGCGTACAGGTTTCAAAACGAAGCAGAAAAGGGATAGAGGATTACAATCAACTGATCAGAAAAAGAAAGATGGCACTAGGAGGGTTCAACCGTAGGACTATGAAAAAATAGTCCTCTGACTTCACTCCATGAAGTTTTATTGTGAAAGCATTTTTTAGAAGCATTAACTTCATGCTTTTGAAATTTAGCTTTAGTTTAGGACTGGAAAGTTCAAGCGTTGCCGTCTTCATCTTCGAATGAGAGTCAGCAGTCGGACAGAGAGGTAGCTAGCGGCATACAAAAAAAAAAGTGTGGTTAATGTTTTCCATTATTACCAAACACCCTAAATTTTTTAAGTTTTCCAAAATCTGAACAAACTAATTGCTCCGGCACCCTTAAATTTTTGTGAATAATAATTTTTTTCCCCGGCGTACCCATCCCGTACCCCTGCGGGAGCATATCCAATGTTCAAAGAATGTAAAAAATGTAAACGGTCCGTATTTGGTGTACCCAGTATGCATACCCGCAATCCGTAAGTACTTGGTCCTTGCACAACATTTTCTGAGTAGCCGTGCTGAATAGCTCAAATTGAATAAATCCATAGGTAAATTTTGATTGATAATTTGTTTGAGACATGAGAGTTTGGCCCATCCCCTCTATGCACAAGGGTGTCCGCATATACAATTTCACATATATATACATGTGTATTTATGTGTATATATCCTCCTAAGCCTTAAAGCTATAATTGAAGGTATAGATTAGATTTAAAATTACCAGAAGTTAAATTCAATGTGTCGAATCAGTACCAGATTTTATCAAGTAATCCCCATAGAAATTACCCAAAAACTATTAAGGGCTACAATGATTCTACACTTTTTTACAATCCAGGCACTGAAATCCCAGAACAGTACCAAACCAAAATTATGGGCAATCATGATTCTACACTTCAGATAGCTGTCAATTATTGCAAACCAAACAAAAAAGCCCATTCACTTTTTTTTTTCTTTTTCTTTTTTTTTTAAAAATCTTTTAATCTGTAAAAAAAAAAAAAAATCCAACAAAGTCACATCAAAAAATCAGAATTAGAACAATATAACACATGAAAAACAAAAATAAAATGCCAATAAAAATCAAACATACCCAGCAAATCTGCAAAACAGGAAGTTTTATGCAAATCAGTTCAAAATTGCACAAAACCAATAGATCAAATCAAATTAATAGAAACAAAAGGATTAACAAAACAGAAGCAGATCAAATAGCATAAAGAGTTCAAAATTAAGGCACATACATAAACAACAGATATACACACATATATAAATTAAAATTCACAGGAATGATTGGATTGAAACGAAGAATTGTTGAGTCACCTGGAAACCGATGGAGATGAGATGTTCGGTGCTGAGAAGGAAGCGAGAATTTTGAGAGGAAGAAGTCTCGACACTTTGGAGGCTGTCGAAACCCTAGGTCCCTAAACCTTTACCACACTCTACCACCAACTGACCATGGTTAGATATGAAACATTGAGAAGAACTAACCATGGTTACATAAAACTGTCTTGACGCTTTATTACTATTCTACCCTTGGTGTTGTGTCACAATTACAGGCATATAAAGGATGAGTAGTGATATATACAAATATAAAATTTATACAGAATAATAATGTGGCACAACATAGAATTTTTTACTTTAAAACAAAATATTCATGAAGAGCACTTATATTTATAATAATGTCACCGGTACATCATTCGTGTGATATTTTTGTATAAATTTTATATATGAATAGAATATTCTATAATAAAATGGGAACTTAATACTTACTTCCATGCTCTATTATTGCTTCTCTTGATTAGAATCATCCGCCCCGTTGGTTTGGAGTCAAGTTTTTGTTACTTGTTTTAGCGGACATTATCTTGGAATTGAACTAATAATTTCACAAAATGCATAATTCAATGTTTGGTAAGTAAAATTGCAATCCGAACTAATAGTCATCCATTCAAACATGGTATCTTCCATTTAGGCTACTAATGAATCCCAAAAGGGGGGACAGGGTGATACAAAAAGCGAGATTAATGAAAATTTAAGATTAGTTAGTTAAATTACAAAATTGATAAGATTTTATTAATTCATAATCTAAAAATAAGTTAGGGTATACAATCCACATGGATTGATAATCCTCTAGGACTAATAGTCCTATGCATTCTAATCTCATATAATGTAGATCGTTGTAATAAACATGACGTAAGAGATTTTGTGTTTGTTCAATTTTAATTCAACTTTATATCGAACTTAATTTGATCATTTCAAGTCTAATTATAATGAAGATTTCAATTTTCAAGTCTATCACGTAATCCACACATATGGAATTTTTTTATTTATTTAAAACATAAAAATTGTTTTGTATTATTAAAAAAATGTTTACAAAACCATTCAATTTTATAGCAAGAGCACGTACAACTATTCATGCATTAATTGTACATCTATTTATAATTGGGTGTAAGAGCATCTCTATCACATTACTTCAATTTTATCTTAAAATATTATTAAAAAATTTATTTCCTATTTTAAGAATTACTCTTTCATTTATTTCCCTCAACAGACTCCCTATTATTTCCCTATTCTATTAACAAACTCCCTATTTTTTTTCTATTTTATTAAAATATAATTTTTAATTATAAATTTTAAAAAAAAAATCAAAAATGTGTATTGCAGTCCCTAAACAAAACAAAGCAAAAAAATATATATATATTTATATAGGAGCTACAGTGACTCTCTACAAATAGAGAGTCACTGTAGCAATTCCTATTTTAGGGGGAGTGTTTAAGGGATCTGCTGAAAGTGTATAGGGGCCATCAAACCCCTTAAAATAGATAAGGAGGGGATATAAGAGTTTTATTAGAGATGCTCTAAGAGCATACCCAGGAGTACCCTTATATCACCTCCTTACTCAAAATAAGGGATTTTGTTGTCAAAAAACGGAAAAAAAATATATATATATATATATAGGAGCTACAGTGACTCTCTACAAATAGAGAGTCACTGTAGCAATTCCTATTTTAGGGGGAGTGTTTAAGGGATCTACTGAAAGTGTATAGGGGCCATCAAACCCCTTAAAATAGATAAGGAGGGGATATAAGAGTTTTATTAGAGATACTCTAAGAGCATATCCAGGAGTACCCTTATATCACCTCCTTACTCAAAATAAGGGATTTTGTTGTCAAAAAACGGGATTTTGTTGTCAAAAAACACTCCCATTAGATCCCCTAACTCACCCCTCAAATAAAAGTATTGCTGCAGTTGCTCCCAAATGCAGGGATCGACTATTCATCCCCCAAAAATATAAAATTATTTTTTATTCAACCTTGAGCATCTCCATCCCTAAACATATAAAATATAAAATAATTAAAAAATAATATTTTATTAGAATAGAGAAAGAATAGGAAATTTATTGGGGGAAATAGATGAAAAAATATTCCTAAAATAGGAAATGAAAATTTTAATAAGGATGTCCCCCCGGACATCCCTCCGGATGTCCCGTGAGAGTCCTGGAGCAAAAGAAAGAAAATGTCTAAAATTAACTTGACCGGTCGATCGGCCGGTCGACCACCCCTGTTTGCTTTCTCGTGTTGCTTCCTGCTATGATGTTGCATGTTGTGTTTTTGCTTTTGTTTTTATTATTTTATTATTAAAAAAATATTTAAATTTAAAAGTAGTGAAAAATATTATTTTAATAGAATAGAAAAAAAATAAAGAGTTTGTTGGGAAAAGTAAATGAAAAAGTGATTCCTAAAAATAAGGAATGAATTTTTTAATAATATTTTAGGATAAATTTTAGGTAAACTGGTGGGCATGCACTTTACAACACTTGGTTAAGGGATCTGATGGGAGTGTTTTTTTACAGTAAAATTCCTTATTTTGAGTAAGGAGATGACATAAGGGTACTCCTAGGATGCTCTGCAACATATATTGTATTTACACCAAACACATGCTGCACTTGCATTCGTGCACATTTTTCACTTGCACCATGTATTCTTGTTCCAAACTCTGATTACAACAATGGGATTGGGGGTTTTGGCCGCAACAAGAGGACTTAAAGAGGCTTGTGGTGGCTATGGTGCCAAGTTTTTGGGTGAAGTGGTTGTTGGGTAAGGAGGGAAAGATTGGTAGTGGCTAGAAAACAACAAGGGTGAGGGTGAGGCGTTGAAGACGATGAAAATGGTTGTAATGACAATGAAAATGATAGCAAAGGCTTGGGAATGGTGGGAAAGGGCATGGGAGTGGTGGCCAGTAGTGAGTATTGGACTACCAGAGTTGTAAAGGGAAAATAAAGATAGAAGAAGAAGAAGAAGAAGAAGAAGGGAAGATGAGAATTCAAGAGAATCTGAGTAGTTTTGTCCTAAATAATAATTTGTAATTATTTTATGAACTTCCAATTATTTTGCAATTTTGGGAAACATCTCATTATTATTTGTTTTTTTTTTTTTTATTGTATATACCACTAAAATGCAATTTTTTCTAATTTTTTTGAAAAACTAAATGTTATTAATGCTACATACCAAAATATTAATATCACTATAAAAAATTAAGGTTTTAGAGACCAAAATTTAGAGATAAAATTATTTTTTAGGGACCAGATAATTTTGTTTCGAAAAGTGTCGTCATTATAATTTTAGTAAAAAAAATTGAACATTAGTGATGAATTATTATCCTTGTGGGACCAAATTTTTTGTCTAAAAAAATAAACCATTTTGAAACAAAATTATTTTGTTTTTAAAAGTCTATTTATTAGTGACAATTTCAAAATTTTGTTGCTAAATGCCTTATTTTTTACTTTTCGGAATGACCTTTTAGGGACTAACCTTATGACGATAAAAATTGGTCTCTAAATGTCTTTTGCAATAAAATTTTCACTTTTAAGAGACCAAAACATTTGATCTCTAAAACTCTTATATGTTGTAATTT